ATATATTGTGGAGATCAATCCTCTGTCAGATGTGGGGTTGGTGAAGATCTTTTCCCATCCTGTTGGCTGTCTTTTTGTCTTATTGACTGTGTCTTTTGCCCTGCAAAAGCTTCTCAGTTTCAAGAGGTCCCATTTATTAATTGTTGTGCTCAGGGTCTGTGCTGTTGGTGTTTTATTTAGGAAATGGTCTCCGGTGCCAATGCGTTCAAGAGTGACACTGAATTTCTTTACATCCACATTGGACATTATTCTAGGCAATGAGGCTCTTGGCTTTGGGTGACAAAAAAGTTTAAGGTGATTAAAGAATTAATTAGTCTGCTTGTCTGCCTGTTGATCTAGACAAATGTGGTATTGCTTTCACCTGTACCACAGTGATGGACTGGCTTTTTTAAATTATTATTATTATTATTATTATTATTATTATTATTATTATTATCATTAACACAGCTTTTGCAGTGTGCTGGTTTTCACTGAAAAAGACCAGACAATTATGATCCTAAATAGTAAAGCGTGAGTTGTTTACCGGGGATGATGCAGCTTAGTGGAGTGGCATGATCAAGCTTCTCCATAAGAACTGTAGACCTTCTAGCGTGAAATTTTCCTTGCTATCAGCGGTAAGGTTTAGACATCTGGTTAACCTTTAGTGATAGGAAATATTAGAAAGAACCCCTTGTTTAGTTATACTTGCCCTTTTAGCCACTCCCTCATGTCTGTCAGAATTTTTTCACTTTTCTATTGTTTTTGGTATTATCTCTTTTTTCAACCTTTAAGGGCTCAGTCATAATATACCTCAAAGTGAATCTGGTTGCGGTTGCGTTGGATCGGATGTGACCATTGACATCTATGCATCTGGATTCCTGTATTTTTCTCTAGATTTGGGGTGGTTTCTCATGAAGTCTGTTCTACCCACTGACATTCTCACTTCCTTTATGAACCCCTGCAACTGCTCTTCCAATGGTAACCCCAAATTTTCACAGACTTTCTCTATCTCTCCCCTTTTCAGTTACTTCTTTTATCTCCAGCAGTATATTTTCAAATACTGATTTCAAGGCAGCTGGCATTTTGTCGTTGTTGTTTGGTCTGTTCTCTGTTGCTGCCTCCTTCCATTGCATTTAAATATTTGATGTGTCTAAGAGTTGTGTTAATCTGTCGTTTCTCTGCTTAGGTATTAACTTGCTTCTTTGGGTTTTCTGAAACTTACCAAGTTTCCCTAAAAGTGCCACTTTTAGCTCTTTCCATAAGCCAGGTGCTGTTATGGCCAGTTCTTGTCTTATGTTATCCGTTAGGCTTGGTCATGATTCTGTGAATTCTCATGCTTGGCCTGTGACGTAGTCTGTGCATAAACATTAGGTAGTTCTCCCAGTCTTTGGAATCTAGCTAGGTTTGTGCCTGCTCATTCAGAGTGGTTTGCGTGAGTCTGTGGGCCTTTCTGGTACTTCAGCACTAGATGGCACCCTGAGGCTAGGTTTATCCCATTCCACTGTTGCGTTTTTTGTTGCTGCTGCTGCTGCTGCTGGTTCAGCTGCCTGATTCCCCAAGCCGCATTTTGTCATGTATCTTCAGTAGGTACGTAGGTGAGAATGAACTCAAGGAGTGCCTGAATGTAGTAGTTTGTCATTACAAACCTTACTCCAAGGCTGGGTAGCCCCCCATGCCTCAGCTGCAGTCACTGGCCTATGGTCAGGCGATAGAGCTCTATTTGGTTCTCTGTCACACTTATTTGGTGGCTTGATGTATACCTCCCTTCTCTTTCCTTAAAAAACAAAAACCAACCTGTCTGTCTGTCTATCTATCTATCTATCTATCTATCTATCTATCTATCTATCTATCTATCTATCTATCTATCTTTCCATAGATTTGTGTGTATGTGTGTTGGGGGCACACATGTACTCTTCCTAGGGCACACTTGTAGAGGTCAAATTACAACTTGCAGTAGTCAGTGGTCTCCTTCCAGCATGTGTTCCTGGGGATCAACTTTCAGGGGTTCGTTGTCTCCTCCTCTGTGCCTCTATAGCTCCAACTCAGGTTGTCAGGCTTAGTGGCAGACGCCTTTACTCGGTGACCATCTCACTAGCCCAGCACCTCCCTTTACTTGCCGTGAAATAGACAGCTGTTCCCTCTGATTTGTCTGGAGTCAGGGAGGAAATGGAGTGGATAGTTCCATAGTGAAACACACTCCAACCCTGGATTATACACAGAGTGCACAGCCTGCTGAGACCAGCCTAGCACAGGGATACCGAGACCTACATTGCTATGTACTGTCTGTTCCTTAGGTGGATTTTTGTCCACTCGTGGTCCAGAACATCTGTCTCCAGCCCCAAGAGATGCTGGCTAGTTTACAAGTTCAGTTGACGGTGGCATTAGGGCAGGAGCTCTGTCCATGGGCATTGGCCTGTGGACTGGGATTGCTACAGTCTGCCTGGTGGAGGTGTGGTGGCTGCATCTACCTGCCTAGCTAAGGAGAAAATACAGTCACAGTCTGCAAGTACTAGCCCAAGTGTACGAGCTGTAAGACTGCACAGGGTTGGCACAGGGTTCTATTGGCAGGTTATGCCACTGGGTTTCAAGTAAAAGTCTAGACTTCATTCCTTTCTCCTTCCCCCAAAAGGAGGAATCTCTCATCACAGTGCCTAGAATTGGAGGGGTGTGGACAAGGACACCTCTTTCTTTTCTGCTTTCCTTAGTGCATCTCTTCTTATTTGGTGCCTCTCACCTGACTCCCCAATCCCTTACACCAGTGTCTCTGTGGGAGGCCTCCACTTCTTGAGCCACCATATCTCAATTTCTGTCACATTTAATCATAACAACCACTATGCAAGTATGATCCCCATTTAACCACGCCACAAGGTAACGAAGGCTGTCACAGAGTTAAATAATTTTTCCGGGCTCTCAACTCACAGTTTAAGCCCCTGTTTTCCTTACTGGTACATTGTATACTTGCCCATTTTTATTTGACACTGTATTACCTTCCTTCATTTAAAATGAATGTGTTGTCCCAACGAGGAACTTTACATACCTATCAGAATACACCGTCTACTCTCAACAGCTGGTACTTCAAGGTGAAAATTATACATGAGGTATTGGTAGTACAGCCTCTCTAGGAATCTATGTTTTCACATCCCAAATTAAACTTGATTGAATAAATGTGAGAGCTTCTGGGAGGATGTGAGGCATAAGATGGTAAATATTTTATAAAGTGTATATTTTTGTTTTTAAAGTTATCATAATGTTTACCTCTGAGCCCTATCTCTATATAACACTGAGGGATTGATTTTTTCTGAAGTTTATTTGCTAAAAAGTACAAATTTCCCACTTGTATTGCCTTGGACTGCTTTGAACCTTTTTAATCCTTTATATCTAGGTTATCTTCTTTGTAATGAATATGATGGCCTGAGAGTAAGATGGCTGAGACAGACATTGGAATCTTTCATCCCACAGTCTTTGACAAATGTAATTAAAGTGTCTGAATTGGATGGCAGAGAAATGGGAGATGCCCAGCCTGAAACGTTTGACAAGGTACTTTTATTGTACTGTGAAAAACTGACAGACTCCTAGTGATATGATATTGTGTTGCTCCATTGTTCTTCACCTTCTGATTCCAGATGGTACACTTTCTCAGTGATCTGGGAGATTCTTATAAAGTGGATGTGGAAGCATTTTTCATCTGATGGTTAGTATGGTTCAGTGGAAACAGTGACTTTGGGTTCGGGGATTATAGAATGTTTTCTATTTTCTGGTACCTTAGAGTTACTGTGGAAATGATCAGTTATCATTTGAGCCAGTAGAAAACACTTCAACATTTTACTTTAATTCAGAATATTTCATATCAGAGTATGGTATATGAAGAAAAGCCATTCCAGTAACTTAAAATTGAATTTTTAATTCTTAAAAATAAACACTGGACCCTGGGTTTTAGCCCCCAACAATGTAAAATTTTACTAGGGTAAAAAATAAAAAGAAATACTCTGAGTTCAGAAATACAGTTATGCCTTCTGAAGATGAGTAACTTTTGTAAGTTTTGGTTGTAGTCATCAAGAATATTAAATTCAACCAGGCATGATGGTGCACCTTTAATCCCATCACATGAAAAGTAGAAGTAGGTGGATCTTTGAGTTTGAGGCCAGCTTGGTCTACAGACTGAGTTTCAGGTCAGCCAGGGGTACACAGAGAAACTCTGTCTTGAAAACCCAAAACAAAAAAGAATACTCAATTCAAATAGCAGACATCAATGCACACTTAGTCCATTAATGTTCGCTCTCTCCATTGAGACAAACACTAACACTGCATGGGAAAATTCTCTGAGCTATCAGAGACAAATATATCAAAGGACTTAGCGTGTCCTACGTTTGGGTCCCTAAGGCAGCGGTTTTATTTACATGCTGTTTGTCATGTAGCTGTTCCATAGACCTCATCCTAAGGATGTTTGCATTGTTTGTCTTTGTTTTCTCCAGGTCTTAGTTGATGCTCCGTGTTCCAATGATCGAAGCTGGCTGTTCTCGTCTGACTCTCAGAAGGCTGCCTGTAGGATCCGTCAAAGGAACAATTTGCCTGTCCTACAGGTAGACCTCTTAAGGTGAGGACTGTTTATTCAAAAGCTTATTTGGGTTCCTGATATAATTTAAGTGGCAGCAGCCAAGCATGGCAGGCAGGCAAATGGAAAGCTTTGTCCCCATAGCTGTTCTGATTAATTCCTGCAAAGGTTCCGAGCAAAAAATTCCAGGCCATCTCTCATGCTGTATTGCCTCCTCCCCTCAAAGTGTCTTTCAAAAAACATCAAGGAATTTGCATGATTAAGTTGTTTTCTGGCTAGTCTGTTCCAAGCCAGGGGCTTATCACCCTGTTTGACCAGAATTGGAGCGTCTTCCTGTTGACGAAGTCTGGGAGCAGTCCTTATTTTGGTAATTTTCTGAAAAGTGAACTTCCCAGGAAGATGGGAGGTGTTGTGTTGTTCCATTTGTCTTATGCAAGATTTTCCTCAGTTTTTCCAAACTGTAAGAGTGAGGCTTCCAAAGGACTTTTCTTTTCTTTTCTCTCTTTTGTTTTTCTTTCTTTTTTTTTTTTCCAGATAGGGTTTCTGTGTGTAGTTTTGGTGCCTGTTCTGGATCTCGCTCTGTAGACCAGGCTAGCCTCGAACTCACAGAGATCCACCTGGCTTTGCCTCTCAAGTGTTCTGCCACCACCACCACCCGGCACAGACTTTTCTTTTTTAACTTCACATGAAATAGCCTCTACTGTTTTTTATTTCTGCCATTGCCATTACCAAGTTCTTTGATTTTTTTCCGTTTTATTTAATGCCTTTCTTCCCATTTCGTCTCAATGTATTGTTTTCTGCTTGCTTCATTTGCAAACCTTTTCTTATTAAAGCTCTTAAGTATCTAATTGTTAAATGAATATTTTTCTATCTTAATTTTACTCAGTCTACGTTTAAAATAAATTTGACAGGATTTTAAATTTTTATTTCTTATTATTATAAATGTGGGGGGGCAGGCATAACATGGTGCATGGTGCATGTATGGAGGTCACTGAACAATTTTGGGAAGTCAGTTTTTCTTCCCTCCATCCATCCCAGGTATTGCTCACAAGTCATCATGTGCATGGCAAATACTCTCACCTGCTGAGACACCTCACCTTCCAGATTCCATGGGATTTTAAGATTCCTTCCTTTGTTTCTTTCCTTTCTCACTCTTAGTTTTTTGGTTACAGTGTCTTGCGATCTAACCCAGCCTGGCCTCCGACATGTTTTAGTCCCCCTGCCTCAGATATAGGCATGAGCCACCATGTCCAGCTGAAATGTCCTATGTTTGGGTCCCTAAGGCAGTGGTTTTATTTCCATGCTGTCTGTCATGTAGCAGCTCCATATACCTCATCCTAACGATGTCCAGCTAAAATGTATTTTTAAGTATATTTATAATATCTGGAAATACTGATATTGTAAAAACTATCAAATGATGCAAGCCTCTTGGCCGCACATCTATCCACATACCTTCTTTCTTTACAAAGCTAACCACTGGACTTAAGTGTGGTTTATATGCCTATAAACTCTCTGCATCAATCTCTGTGTCTGCATGTAAGTAAGGATAAAAAAAATACATTAAAAATAGCAGGTGTTGTTATGTGCATATATTCTTGTAATATTTCAGACTCTGTATAGATCTGCTTCATTCTCAACTTATGTGAACTATTCAAGAGGAATAGTCTATTGTATTCTGTTTTCTTTCTCTTTCAAAAACATTTTTGCATGCTGTCCTTTGTCTCAGTAGGCAGGCATAATATCATTTTTCTTGATTACATTTGTATTACCTTCCAAAATATGTGATGCCAGCCCATAGTCTTAGTTACAGTTTACTTTGTTGACTGTTTGCTCTCTCTTAAATATTCTCTGCTTTTAACATTTGTGATTAAGTTTTCTCCTTACCTGCAGTTGTATCTTCTCTATATTTTTCTTAGTTTTTACTTAGCTCATCTCACAAACTTTGTTTTTTTTTAAGTTAATTATATTGTTTTACTGTATGATGAGTTCAAATGATGTAAAGTGCTATATTACAAATATATATCTAAATTGAAATTTCTCCCTAGCCTGGGACTTGTGCACTCAGTAACCTTCCAGGGAGATCTCTAGACAAAGAAGTCTCATAATTTCTATTGCTTTTTTAGACCCACTGCCCAAATCAACAAAATAAAAAACAAAAACAAAGCCTTATAAATCTGCTTGTCTTCTGTCTTAGTAAATGGCATGCTGCGATGTCTATGCCTAAGTCAGAAAGCTATCCTAAGCTACTCCCGTTCTTCTCCTATGTCCAATCAATCACTAAGACATTTCTGTTGTAACTGTTACATATCTGTCAGCTCCATCCAGTTCTCTCAATTCTTCACGGCCTAACCTAGATCCTACCAGTATCTATCACTGAAATGATTGCAGCTGGCTTCTGGCAGGTCTCCAGTGGTAAGCTCTTTCACTTCATTCTGCACAGCGAAGCCAGAGAAATGCCTCTGGAATGTAAGTCAGAACCCTGGTTATTCTGGCAGGTTTAGTGTTTCCTCCTTAGCATAAAGATTTCCAGCTCTTTAACCTAATAGTCAAGGCCACTCTTCAACCTGGCTCGCTCTTACTTCATTAACCTTCACTGTCTTAAGACTCTCAGTGTACGTGTATTTCAAGGGAGCGGCACCTCATGTAGTCCCTGTAGTTTTCAGGTCTAAGGCCAATGCATTTCCTGTTTGTTTTGCCTTAGAGTTCGAACTCATTCTAGCCTTCCCTTCTGACTAACTATTGGTTCTTCAGGGATCAGCTTTGCTAACCCTCTATTGAAGCCTCAATCAATGATAGTATTTTGACATCTTTACCTTTATTAAAAATGGTGCGCCGGGTAGTGGGGAACACATGCTTTTAGTCCCAACACTCAGGAGGAAGAGGCAGGTGAATCTCTTGAGTTGGAGGCCAACCTGGTCTGCAGAGTGAGTTCGAGTACAGCCAGAGCTACATAGAGAAATCTTGTCTTGGAAAACCAAAAACAAAGTGTGTATGTGTGTGTGTGTGTGTGTGTGTGTGTGTGTGTGTGTGTGTGTGTGTTGGTTGAAATATTAAGGCAACTCCACGTAGTTAAAAGGGAATTTTATTTTGTGGGGTAACTTACAAGTAAAGGGATCAGTAACAGGGTCTGGGAAAGGTGAAGTGCAGTCTAGCAGTGTTCTCTGATGAACTCTGCTCAGTCTACCTCCAGTGTCCAGGATCCAGGAACCAAGAGAGCGGGCACATCTGGGTCTCGGGTCTTCAGGGCTCCTCTCTTGGCTCCGCCTTCTAGGCGTGACAGTTACCGAAGCCTCAGTGGGGGTAGTACTTCCAGGTCAAAGCTGGAACAGCTACCCACTACGTGTGTGTGTGTGTGTGTGTGTGTGTGTGTGTGTGTGTGTGTGTGGTGTATAGTCACTCTCCACTAGATGTTTGCCTGTGTTGATCTTTCTTTCAACAAGACTGCAAGCATATTAGAGAAGAGGGGCTTATTCTTTACACACGTTCATCCCAACTGCAGTTTCCCCTACTCTACTCCACTCCTCCCAGCCCCTCCACACACACATCCCCTTCCCTCAGATCCTCTCCTCTTTTGTTTCCCCTCAAAAAAAAAAAAAAAAAAAAAAAGAACAGGCCTCCCAGGGATATTGACCATTGACCAAACATGGCATAACAAATTACAGTAAGACTAGGCACAAACCCTCATATCAAGGCTGGATAGGGCAACCCAGTAGGAGTAAAAGGATCCTAAGCACAGATAAAAACATCAGAGATAACGCCCCCCCTCCCACACTGTTAGAAGTCCCACAAGAACACCAACCTATGCAATCATAATGTCTATGCAGAGGACCTAGGTTAGCCCCATACATGGGCCGTGATTTTATTTCAGTCTCTGTGAGCACCTGTGAGCCCTGCTTAGTTGATGCGTAGGTCAGCGAATAATCTTGATTCTCGATGTAGTACCCAACAAAGAAAGGAGCTCAGTTAATAATTGTTTAAAAACAGTACATTCCAATGCCTGAATACCTGGAATACACAGTTACAATTATTCTGGCCAAAGTTAATCTGATCAGAATAATCTTATAATCATTATTGTGTTGCAAGGTAATTAGGCATAAATGTAAAGCAATTTACATAATATATTTTGATTACTATAGCTTTTATATAGACAAAGCGTGCTTTTGGCTTGACTTTATGTTTTTTCCCCATGTACTGCATCTTCAGATCCAATAGCATTTTAGTCATTATGAAGATCATAACATACTTGCACCTCTTATGACCTCAGAGCTGAAGCTGCTCCTTAGTAGGCATTCCACTCTCCTTAACTCTGAACAGGACGGCGTATGCTAAAGTAGGTGGCTGTCAGTCACAATGGGTGTCATTTTCACGTCATCAGCTGTAACTGGGAAAGGCCACCACTGCAGCTGACTGTCCTTTCCGTGAGCAGTGAGCCTGCAAGCCTTGCCTCTGCTTCCTAGGCTGCTCTGGAGGTAGAGTGATGAGAAGCAGCTGAAATTGGTGTCTGGCTGAGCGATAATGATGAAAAGGGCAGAGAGTCAAATGCATAAGCTGTAGACACATGGAAAAAAAAAAAAGGTCCGATTTCCTGATACAGACAAGTCTTGGGGTTAAAAAGATAAAGCATACCAAGCAATCTTTCCTTATCTCCCATTCACCCCTTCAGAAAAGAAAAGGATTATGGTAATTTTTAAAATCAGAGATACCACTATCATTTACAAAGAAGTTTCTTTGGCTGGTATTTTTAATTTTCCTTGCATGCTTATTTTTTCAAGAAAAGGTAATAGCCATTTTATTCTGTAATATCAGATAAATGGATTTATATGCAATTTATAAGAGAGTAAATTTATACATATAAGTTTAGCCAAACTGTAAAGAATTGATAAATCCTTGCAAAGAGCAGCTAGGAAAAAAGCAAGCGTATGTTGCCTGGCCTGATACTGGGGACAAAGGATGATACTACAAAAGGAGAGAAGCAATGGGTCCAGATGGTGAGCAAGACCTGTGCCTCAGGCTGTGAGTCCAGCACTTGTAAGGGCTGAAGC